CCGGCCCGGCCTGGCCTCTGCGCCTCGGCCTGTGGCCGCGCTACGTACCGCTCCTTCTCCCGGCCGCGGGGAAGCGCGGCAGAGCCGCTCCCCCGGCGCAGCTGAGGGCCGGGCAGGCCGCGGCCGCCTGGGGGCTCCTTGGGAAGCAGAGCTTTGCTGTGGGCCCTGCGCTCCTGAGGGGCCAGACCAGCACCCTCGCACAGGCGCAGGGGCGTGGGGACAGTGTTAACGGTTGTCCCTGACGCTTCCTCTCCAGGTGCCCTGGTGCCGGCCAGGGAAGCGTGAGCAGCAGGGTGAGGCGAGTGTCTCGACGGCAGGGCTGTAGCCGTGAGCAGAGTTGTTCGATTTGTGAGATGCACTCTCCAGAGGTTAGCGAGCTGACTGGTTGTTGGGAAAATGCGTTCTTCAGATTTCCTCCCGTTTCATCAGTTGTCCCTCTGTCAGCATCTGGCTGTGCATGCTCGCCCACAAGGTCAGTCCTCCTTTGCTCTGCACGAGTCTCTGTACAACACAACTGCATCTGTGCAGTTTTGTACAATATAAACCACGAGGATGTGAATTCCTAAAAATCTCTCAAGTTCTATATTAAACATATATAGTTGTTAATGCTAAGAATAATGAATTAAAAACCCCAACAACAACAGTGATCATGGGCAAAATGCTTCAAACAAAGTAGGTATAAAGCCTTTCTAGGTCTTCAAAGGCAGGGTAGACAGATTTGTGAGTTTGGTGTGCAGAGGTCATGGACTGCTTTGCTAATGGAAAACAGTTAGCTTGAGTTTCAAGGTTCACTAAGTCATTGTTACAAGTGTTGACTGTATTTGAGAGGAAAACATAAAAGGCACTGTTGACTTAGAGCTTGCTGATAGATAGGTCCGTGTTAAAAGTAAGTAGATGTTTTGGAAGACTAGAGTGGCTCATGTTATTTCTGTAGGATAAGTGAAAATAAAATTACTTTTAAGCTGCACTGTTTCTAGGGTAGGCAGGAGTACAGGATGAGTAAGTAAGTGTGAATTGCTTCTCTCTGTAAGAATGATGGAGTAACAAGGCTGAGGTAACTCCCCTCATACAATCATAAATAATTGGTTGTAATTGTGTGTTGTTTCCTGTGAACTGGAGAACACTGGTACCTGATCATAGAATCATTAAGGCTGGAAAGGATCTTAAAGGTCATGAAGTTCCAGTCCCCCTGCCATGAGCAGGGAACCCTACCCCTAGATCAGGTTGCACAAGACCTCATCCAGCTGCTCTCCAGTTGATCACGCTGCCCCTACTTCCACTGCATTACCTAGTGAATGCTAGGTGTGGTTTCCCCCACTCAATTCATTTGCTCTATATAACAAGTGCTTCCCCATGTTAAAGCCTCTTCCTTCTTCCCACCAAGAGTAAAAGTGTGTGAAACATTTCTGGATTGAAAACTGAAAATCTTTAGGTTTTCCTATCAGAAAGCAAGGTGTCTTTTGAAAACTTATGTTGCTTGGGCAATGCTATGACCAGGATCATGCTTTGTTCTTGAGGCCAGGTTGGAGCTGAAAACTGGACAATGTGTGTGTCATGAGAAATGGAAGTGTCATCTGCCCTGAGCCCGCTCCCAGCCAACCAGCCATTGCTATTGAGAGCAAGGGCAGCTCCGTTCATGTTACCCTGTAACACGAAGGTTGCATTTCCTAACCTTAGGCACCCAGTTCAGTGTACATTAGTAACTTTTTTAC